TTTCATGCTCAATATAGCGGCTCGCTAATAATTAACGGCCAGCTCCTGGGACTTTACACGTACAGGGTGTCTCGATATCGCACAAAATTCATGACTGTTGAAAGTTTCTTATAGTTATTCATGTTTTTAGAAACGCTGCATCTACTCAAGTTTTATAGCGTACATAAATATTATTACACAGAGTATTATATTTATATTAATCAGACTAAACTAAATTGAATTTATTTCATACATTTCTAAAAATTATTTGCAATAATTATTGATAGATATAGAAAAATGTTAAGAGATTGTCACATTTCTCTAAAAAGCTTGTGAACGCACATTTGAATTGTATATTGATTCGGTACACGTGGAAGTTTGTTTCCAGAAAATAGCGAAAACGTTGAGGCAAAATTCTGCGATACACCGAGTACGTGTACCGAGTACATCTTACGGTGCTAGCGGGTGGTCCTCATTATGTCGGGTTCCCCACTGCTTACCCGTCCTATCTATTTAACGTATCGTTTGCCTTGGTAACCATCCAAATTAGCTCATCCTTCTCTATCCCGCGGCAACGGCATCTTTCCCGACCTCGCTCTTGTCTTCTTTAATTATTGAAAGGACGATGTTTAATAACGACGATCCGACCGTCACGGTGTGCTCTAATAGAAAACACTCGTTTCCTGTGAAAGATTATATCGTAATGGCGAACCGCCATTTATTTAGGAGAATGTTATCAGGAAGCTTCTAACACTGCGCTGGCCAAAGACTTCCTTTTTGATCAAATTTATATAATTGGTCCAAGTTCGAAAATTCTTGGAAACGATGCACACATAAATTCTGAAACTTCAAATAACTGAAGAATATATACTTTAGTTAATACCGATTTATTTAGGAAAATGTTATCAGGAAGCTTCTAACACTGTGCTGGCCAAAGATTTTCTTTTTGATCAAATCTATAATATATAATTGGTCCAAGTTCAAAATTCTTGGAAACAATGCGCACATAAATTCTGAAACTTCAAATAACTGAAGAATATATACTTTAGTTAATGTCGATTTATTTAGGAAAATGTTATCAGAAAGCTTCTAACACTGCGCTGGCCAAAGACTTCCTTTTTGATCAAATCTATATAATTGGTCCAAGTTGGAAAATTCTTGGAAACGATGCGCACATAAATTCTGAAACTTCAAATAACTGAAGAATATATGCTTTAGTTAATGTCGATTTATTTAGGAAAATGTTATCAGGAAGCTTCTAACACTGCGCTGGCCAAAGACTTCCTTTTTGATCAAATCTATAATATATAATTGGTCCAAGTTCAAAAATTCTTGGAAACAATGCGCACATAAATTCTGAAACTTCAAATAACTGAAGAATATATACTTTAGTTAATGTCGATTTATTTAGGAAAATGTTATCAGAAAGCTTCTAACACTGCGCTGGCCAAAGACTTCCTTTTGATCAAATCTATATAATTGGTCCAAGTTGGAAAATTCTTGGAAACGATGCGCACATAAATTCTGAAACTTCAAATAACTGAAGAATATATGCTTTAGTTAATGTCGATTTATTTAGGAAAATGTTATCAGGAAGCTTCTAACACTGCGCTGGCCAAAGACTTCCTTTTTGATCAAATCTATATAATTGGTCCAAGTTCGAAAATTCTTGGAAACGATGCACACATAAATTCTGAAACTTCAAATAACTGAAGAATATATGCTTTAGTTAATACCGATTTATTTAGGAAAATGTTATCAGGAAGCTTCTAACACTGTGCTGGCCAAAGACTTCCTTTTTGATCAAATCTATATAATTGGTCCAAGTTCGAAAATTCTTGGAAACGATGCGCACATAAATTCTGAAACTTCAAATAACTGAAGAATATATGCTTTAGTTAATACCGATTTATTTAGGAAAATGTTATCAGGAAGCTTCTAACACTGCGCTGGCCAAAGACTTCCTTTTTGATCAAATCTATATAATTGGTCCAAGTTCGAAAATTCTTGGAAACGATGCACACATAAATTCTGAAACTTCAAATAACTGAAGAATATATGCTTTAGTTAATACTGATTTATTTAGGAAAATGTTATCAGGAAGCTTCTAACACTGCGCTGGCCAAAGACTTCCTTTTTGATCAAATCTATATAATTGGTCCAAGTTCGAAAATTCTTGGAAACGATGCACACATAAATTCTGAAACTTCAAATAACTGAAGAATATATGCTTTAGTTAATACCGATTTATTTAGGAAAATGTTATCAGGAAGCTTCTAACACTGTGCTGGCCAAAGACTTCCTTTTTGATCAAATCTATATAATTGGTCCAAGTTCGAAAATTCTTGGAAACGATGCACACATAAATTCTGAAACTTCAAATAACTGAAGAATATATGCTTTAGTTAATGTCGATTTATTTAGGAAAATGTTATCAGGAAGCTTCTAACACTGCGCTGGCCAAAGACTTCCTTTTTGATCAAATCTATATAATTGGTCCAAGTTCGAAAATTCTTGGAAACGATGCACACATAAATTCTGAAACTTCAAATAACTGAAGAATATATGCTTTAGTTAATACCGATTTATTTAGGAAAATGTTATCAGGAAGCTTCTAACACTGTGCTGGCCAAAGACTTCCTTTTTGATCAAATCTATATAATTGGTCCAAGTTCGAAAATTCTTGGAAACGATGCACACATAAATTCTGAAACTTCAAATAACTGAAGAATATATGCTTTAGTTAATGTCGATTTATTTAGGAAAATGTTATCAGGAAGCTTCTAACACTGCGCTGGCCAAAGACTTCCTTTTTGATCAAATCTATATAATTGGTCCAAGTTCGAAAATTCTTGGAAACGATGCGCACGTAAATTCTGAAACTTCAAATAACTGAAGAATATATGCTTTAGTTAATACCGCAATTATTTTTCAAAGAGAAAATCTAACGATAGGAGAACGCAATTATGACCTCGCCAATCGGACACACAAATTTATGTTGAGAGCAAACGGAATGGATATGCTCGTGAAAGCGAATTTAAAAATCAATGGCCTGTAAACATGAATGCCTCGAGTAACGAAAGATAGCGAAAATGCTTTGTTACTTTGGGAGTTTATGAATCTCTTTATTGCCATCGCGATTTCTTCTCAATTGCCGAGTCTGCAGTTAACATTAATATCGTGCTGTTAGAAGTTAGGTACAGGGAAAGTTAATCGTGAATCGTCCTCCGACTATCTATACTTCGTTATGTACAATACGAGTCTGTCACGATATCGACTGTCGAATAACAATTTCTCAGAAAGGCAGTTGACAGCATAAAGACCAACTCGACAATGAATATCCATTTTGATTCTATATATTCGACTTCATTAAACGTCTTACACTACGTACATTAATTGATCCGCGAGAGACAATCATGTACACGCTTTATGCTGAATGTCTTCTAGATTTTACAGCTTCTACAGACATTTTATTATTAATAAATTTGCGTTTAGAGTCTCCATCAAATAGACAAACAAACAGACTTTTGTCTAACGGGGGAGTTACGAATAATGTAACGGTGTGAATGTATCGCTGGTAAGCGATATGTTTTTGAGGTTTGACATCGATTCTCTCTGATAAAACGGTGAAAATAGACACCGCGCGGATTTCCGCACGATGAAATTTACGGCTCCAACCAATTCCGCGAAAATGGAAGAACGTCCGCGAGGTTTTATTCGGCGGTGCAGCGTGTTATATCGGCACCCCTATCGGGACTCATTTGTTTTTGCTTATCGCGAAGTTACGTGACGGAGTCACCGTAAATATGACGGACGGGTGCGCGACGATGGAATCTCCGTCAGAACAAACGAGCATCACGGACGTACCCCGAAAATCTCCCGACACGCCGCGACGCGACGCGACGCGACGCGACGGCTCGATTTAGGGGCTGAACGTCGAGAGGGAAGTCTCGAGACTGAGAGGGGTTGATGTTCGACTGCGAATCGATATACCTACACCTATCTACCTGCATGCGCGAACAAACCGTATCTCCCGGACTGGAAGAGATGGCCGAAATTTCAGAGTTCTCATATTTTTGCGTTACCATCATGATTTAATCCTTTCAACCGTGATATAGTGCACTGTGCATCTCTGATTGTCAGCCAAACGTGATTAATATAATTATGAATTCAAATATTGTAATTGTCGCGCGAAAATTATTTAGGTAATTAATGTGATGCATATAATAAATTGATTATTAAATTGAGAAGTAATATGAATGATAATTTTTATTTTTTTTTTTAATAAATTGTTGCCCAATTTAGTAATCACAAATTCAATTTTGAGTCGAGTTCAAATTTATATATTTGAAATTAAAGCGTGAAAAGTTTTATTATTCATTCCTTGTTACCTTGTCACTGTTATCTTCATAACTAAATTTATCATCAAAGGAAAGAAATAGTTTGTCACAATATTTATATCATTAATAAAACAATGCACATCAATAATACACATATAAATGTTGAAATGCTTTCGAATTTTTGAGTAGCAAACGTTTCTTCCTTGATCCATTATCTCTTCGTTTTATCATTTAATATGCGTAACGACAATTGAAAACTATCTCATCCGCACTCTTAATTTTTTTTTTCAATCTTAATCACCCCGCCTAATTGCTCAATTGCACTCATTACCGTCTCCGACGTAGTAAAGCAAGTGGCGATTAAATCTCTCCTTCCCGTCGCGCTTCCCTCAACCCTCTTCTCGCATCCCTTCTTGCTCCGTGACGGCGCGTCGCATTTGCACGAGAGAAACTTATCCCTCTCGGCACAAAAATCGCTGTATAGATAATTCCTGTTCCCAGCTACGGGGCGGAGCATCGCGAGGAATGCCCCTGTTACTAGTTTCCAGCCCCGTTGGTAGAGTTGCCAGCCCCGTTTCTGAACCTCTCCTTCTCGTTCTATCACTCGCATTTCCCACTCTCTCTGTACTGACGTACGTTCAACCCCACCACGAACACTCGGCCCGAGGCAAAAGGAAAAATCAGGGCGGTGCTGGCTGAAGCGGTCAGACTCAGTCCACACGGAGAGCTCGACTTGGCTGGAGGCTACCGGAGCTGACGGTCGAAACGATCATTGATCCATGAGAGCTGTCAAACGTCGGACAATGTTCTTGGTGTGAACGATGTGTCTCGAGCGCGTCGTCTTCCGGAGCTGACCGTTCGTGAAAGATTATGAATCAGTGAGGATTGCTTTGATAAAAAAAAAAAAAACAGTGAGCACGTCGAGAGTTTTTTAATCTGTCTCGCGGATGAGCGAACGAGCTCTCGTTCGGATATAAAATCGGGACATTGTTATTGCGAATCCGAGCAGTGCTAATCGACACAAAACGTGCCCGATCGACGTTCGAGAATGACAGTAATAAGGATGACCTCGCCGGTGACGCCTGGATCGACCAGTCCGGATTCGTCAAACGAGGCTCAGGCGCTGCAAGCAACCTCGAAACCGACTCATCAACTGAGTTTCTCCGTCGCGGCCCTGCTGGCGCCCAGGAAGATGCCGGAGTCCTCGGCGAAGCAGGATGCTCTCTTAATGTCATCCAGATCGTCGTCGGTCGTCTCGTATTTGCCGATTCGGCAGGAACCTCGTATCAATACTTCTGTGCCGAGGCAACTTTCCGATTTGAAAACCTCGAGGTACATCTCGATCACCACGTCTTCGTCACCCAGTCAAGAAGCTAGATTGAGCCATTGCGTCTCTCCACACCACGCTTCGGACTCGGGGACACCACCAAGGTATCCCGAGGTGATCGATTTCACTTGCAGCATCGAATCACCCAGCAGACGATCGACCTCCGGCAGCATAGACTACCGAGTGCATCCGTCTACCGACATCAGAACCACTCCGGAATCCGTGATAGGCTGTTCCTCGCCTCCGAAAATCATGGGCAATCATCAGGACGCTGGCTCGCAATCGCCTACGAGCAGTTCTCACGGTGAGGCTCACTCGAGGTGTTCAGAGGCGGATGACATCGAGGAAGACGACGAGAGTAGACTAGTGGACGTCGAGGATCTTCAGCATCATCCGTCTAGTCCAACTCCCGTTAGGCCGACTCCGGCTTATCTCGGCGGTTTCTCCAGCCTTGGTGGTATCCCTGGGATTCCGCCGAATTTTCACCCTGCAGTCTGGGGCGGCGGACATCAGAATGCAGCTGCAGCCGCCGCGGCGGCTGCAGCAGCCGCAGCTACTGCCACATTCTTCCCTTCTCACTTCTCTCATCATGCTCCTCTGAACGGTGAGCCTTAATTTAACATATTTTTAAAAACTATTCCCGTTTTGCAATAGCTCGTCGATTTTATTTTTGTATTCTAATTTAGGTTAATAAAATATATGTGTCGGAAAGATGACATTTAAGAGAGAGAGAGAGAGAGTCCTTATTTGCTTTGATATTCTTGGTAATATAGTTGCTCGATGTAGCGTCATTAATTTTCGATCGTTCCAGTGTTAATTTCACAAAGTACGACGACAACTGGGTTTGGGATAGTCTTTAATCTTTGGCGGAGTGCCAATCTCTCTTGTATTTCTCGGCAGATTCTTTTCATGGTTCATTGCGGCTAAAGCGATTACGCGGTTACAGGCGCGGTTTACAGACGACGATTTCTCGCTGCTATATAGAATCCAGACAACTTTACTCCTTATTGATACATAATATTGAACGTGATGATATTCTGAAAACATGGCCTAGCAAAAGAACATATCTCCCGATAATAATCAAACAAACGTGCTTTCTATTAACTGTTTTACAATTCGGTAATTCAATGTTTGGGTTTTAACAATTTAAGATAATTATCTGTTATCAGTTTTTAAATTAAAACATACGCAAGTAATTAACGTGATGTACACCCACGTATTTTTTAATTACGATTGCGAATAAATGATATTACTTCCAGTGTTAATTAGTTAAGCGATTTACGAATTACAACAGACGACAGTTAAACAAGTATGGTATTTGCGTCATCATTTTGTTTCGTCAAAGAATCCACTGGAGACGCAGGAGTGAATTTAACTACGTTTTGCTCATGGATTCTATAACGAAACAATGGATGATTATCGCAGAAAGGTGTCCCGAGACAAATCGAGTAATCGACGAATGAAAATTGATTCTCCGATGGCCGCTTTGGCCGCTATTAAACGATAGCCTACCGTCGCTCGACCGAGCCGAACAATTCTCGCGTATCTTCGCTTAATCAGTGACTGTTGCGAAAGAGATTGCAATTTATGAATAAAATATTTACATAATATTATTGCGTAATAAAATTTGCTTGATGTTTTTTTTCAATATTTACTTAGTCAATTCAGTTTAATTAACTACTTCGTATTCATATTCGTATTAAGTATTTTATAATATTCTTTTTAATGTTTTCTCTTAATGGAATGAACTTTTTAAATTTATAAATAATGTTTAATATGATAATTGCGTGAATTCTTTCTTACGAACAGTTTTATACAAATATTGTAACAGGTGGATTGTAATTCAGATTGTAATTATATAGCATAGTTTGCATTAATATCTAAAAATTGAAAAAGAATGAAAATAAATAAAACGTATATTATAAAATAATAATCTTGTGGCCAGGAATAAAGATGGCTCTACTTGTGTTCTCTATTGCCGATATAAAAAATTCTAGAAGAGATCCCGTGTAGAATATACGCGGGCCATACAGGCGAAATGCCATAATTCTGAAATATGAACTCTCGTAGAGGGTACTTTCACAGATCGGCGCACCCCTTCAAAGTTTTATGCCACCGCTTCTTTTACCGTGATTATCCTAAATAAGTGATTCTATCCGTAAGAAAATTTACTGGTACAAGCAAAGAGCAGACAGTTTTATATCTTTAAGTAATTCGAATGTTGTTGTGAAAGAAAAAATTTATACATGGTGTAGTTTATGTATATCTATAATATCCATATAATATGTATCGAGAAAAGAAATTTTCATTTTAGATATTTTCAAAAAAAAAATAAGTAAAAGTCGTTAGTTTGCTGTGTGTTGTCGCATTATGTTATAATATAATTTTTCAAATAAACACATACATATATGTGAATATTAGTTATAATAGCATATTATAACATGGTGTGATAACAAATCAATAATTCTTATACCTATTTCCTTCTTAAAGACTAAACCTGAAATAAAAATTTCTTTTCTCAATAAATGCAATATTCAGACATAGAGAGATCAGACACGATTTGATGGAGAATGCTTATTCTTTCGATCGTTATGCAACGCAACAAAAGGCATCCAACCATTCGATTCGTTCTCTCCAGTTTGCACTCCTGTTCGATGATCGTTGCATTCGCGAAACACGCTATCTCGGCGGAATCAGCTAATTATTTCGAATGCACATTCCCGATCGGTAGTCCCGGATTGAAATCAGAGCCCGCGTTTTTGGTGGCCCCTGCGACGAGGAGAGAGATCACCGAATGCCGAGACTAATTGGAACCCTTAGCGAGCGGTGAGGAACGTATACAAAGGACAATTCCCGAAGTAGGATCGAGCATACTACGGTGTTGTAAGTCCGAGTTGATGCGTAGAGAATCTCGGAACGGTAGAGGGATGAACGAGAAAACAAGACGCAGGAGAGAGATGAGTGAAGAGCGATTCCGACAACGAATTTGAAATTCAGAAACAGCAACTGCCAAACCGACGACGACGTGGTCTTTTGTCTCGTCGGAATCTTGACTCGTTGTTTGGTACAGAAGCTGTTCACCTCGGCTCTACAAATCTGTCAATTGTCCCGAGACAAATCTCAAGGGATATAACCGATATATATATTCCAATACCGGACCACTCTCTGTATTGCTTTCTGTCTTATGGTGGCTCGACACGATCCTCGATTATCTGAACGTACCGTAGAGACAAGCTTAATGATATTATTTGTGTGTGTGTTTAACTTTCTAAATATTTAAATATATACAAAATATCTCGGAATGATATTTCCTCATCAACTATATTTTATAGGATATAAATTTACGTTTACTTCGCATTTTACTGAAAAGCAATTATAGATAGTATCATAAATACTTAAAGAAGGATATAATATTCTTATTTGCATTTTTTACATGTATATTCCTTCATGTATGATACATAAGATAAATATGAAAGAACTTTTTATCCGCTTCGCGCACATAAAACCAGGTCTCTGAATTTTTACGACTTAATCAAACTGAAAAATCTCACGAGGCTTCTCTTCTCACCCGATTCATAACGTTAATGTTTCAAATTTGACAAATTGACACTAATAAAATCCACATCTGTCTAAAGGGATTAGTGTGCCTCTATATCGAGCACGAGATATCGCGCGATAACTACGGCTAACAAAATAACGCTACACTTATACCGTCGACGAGAACAGCGTATTCCCTAGCGCGCAATTAACCGACACTGATCTTTTTCTAAACGAAGCGCAAGCGAAGAATACCAAGCTCACCAACGACGCCTTCCTTCGCGCGAGCAGGCGTTACGATCAGGCGCTCTTATGCGAGCGCGCGGTAGCCGCGGCTGGGCCGTGTAGAAACAATTCGCGGCCGGAATTTTGCGGTCGGCCGGCAAAAAAGTAATGAGACCAGTTTGCGGCGCCGTTCCGACGGAAAAATTATGAATTGCGCCCTAAAAAGATGCGTTTGCCCTCGCCGGGCTATTCGAGTCCGTTCGAGGCCGACAAAAACGGGACACATTGCGGTCTCTCGGCCCTTTCCTCCGTTAGGCTACCTATCTCGCGAAACACCTTCTCGCGGGAGGGAGGACTATCTGTGTCCGTCAGTTTGTTCGTACGAGCATAATGCTCGTCGCTGTTCCCCGTGCACGACATGCACTTCGACTGAAAGCGTGTTTCTCCTTTTTTCTTCCAGAGAACGGCGAACCGGCTAAGATTAAGTGCAACCTGAGGAAGCACAAGCCTAACCGTAAGCCCAGGACGCCTTTCACGACACAGCAGTTATTGGCCCTCGAGAAGAAGTTCAGAGAGAGACAGTACTTGAGTGTCGCTGAGAGGGCAGAGTTCTCGTCGTCGTTGCACCTTACGGAGACACAGGTAGAAGTCAATCTCGTATACATCGAATGCGTGTTTAAGTTGTGTAACGAATAACGAAATCTTCAATTCGATACGTATATATCGGAATTTTATTTTTAATTAACAATGTTGTTTGTTGCGTGTACTATTTTTATGTATAATTATGCACGGAGAGAATTTTCTCTTAGAATTTATTACCCTGAAAATTATGGTAATCATGGATAATACGGTGTTGGAAGAATTTTATAAGAATTTCTCTGATTAATATTTATCACCATAAAAAATATTAATGCATACATAGTAAAATTCATCGAACATATTTTATATTTTGTTGTGGTAGATATTACTATTTTTATTGCGGTAAATATTAATCAGAGAAATTCTTCCAATACCATATTGTCCAATAAGATTACCATGATTTTCAGGGTAAATTCTAAGAGAAAATTCTCCCTGTGTGTACATATATAAAAAATAAAAATATATTCGCTGATAAAATACAAATGAAAAACAAAGATCGTATTTGTTTATCACACCAAGAATCACTCGCCAAGTGATTTTTCTAATCTTTCACACGAGGTGTACGATTACACAACTTTGCACAAATGTCTCTTAGCGCACTAATTAGCAAGTAGGCTACTTATTAACTCGTTTGCCTAGTGTTTATTCTATAAACGTTTTAAATTTAAAGATGGTTTATCGAACCGCAGTCGGAGGGGAATAATTTAAAGATTCAAGGATTGTAAATTCCTCACTTGTTACGCAATCAAATTAGCACATTCGGGGATCATCATTTCTTCGATCTTGCGCAGCGTCTGTCAGGCACTCGAACTGCCAACTCTCCTCCGTCAGCACTCACCCGGCACTTTTATTTCCTTCGGGCCATTCACGAGTCAAAACAATTCGCGCGTGTCTTTCGGGACTTAGTTATGGCTGCGCGGCTTTCTGCCAGATGCGCGGTAATTAGCGCACGTAAATGCGCGCTATACGAACCGTCTTAGTGTATACAGAGGATGGTAATTTTATTAATAGACTACAAATTGCCTGAAACACGCTCGTTCCGCGATAGCACGCGATGACCGACCAATTATCTCCGGCTGAGATCCCGATTCTCTGGCAGCGATTTCCGAAACGCATTTCGCGCTGCGATATATGCGAATCGCAGACTCCCGCTTCGTAAGGATCCGACAACAACGGCATCGATTATTCGATTAAGATAGAAACGGCGATAAAATGACGTCGAGGGGTGTAACGGTTTGTTTATAGTACGCAGATGTACGTCACCGTGATTATTATCGCAGATTATTTTTGTCAGTTTCTTCTTCTCGAGTTTATCGCGATGTCATCGGGATGTCGTTTACCGAAATAATTTCCGAAAGTGACGTTTAGATCAAATTTAATAGTGTTCCCTCCCAATTTATTTTAAAGACTCCGAATCTTCGGATCCGAACGATGAAAGAAGTTGTTTGAAATTATACGATGGCATAAAACTGACACAATTTATTTTCATTTCAAATTTATGGAAATCCCGCGCCGAATTAATTATATTTAGTCGATAGTAACATTAATATGTAATTAATAAAAGATTATTGATAAATGTTAGAGACTGAAACTAATTTTAGCTTATAAATTGAATTGCTTGAAAGCCGCGACTCGATGTAAACCATTACATCCCGAATGATTACTAAATCTTGTTGAAACATTCGCAAACACGAATAACCATATCTCGGATTATCGCGTCGAAACTCTCCAAACATGCCGCTATAAATTCGAATTGATTGATTGTTGCAGGTAAAGATCTGGTTTCAAAACCGACGTGCTAAGGCGAAACGTTTGCAAGAAGCGGAAATCGAGAAGCTGAGGATGTCAGCCGTGAGACAGCATCATTCGGCGCTCTACGGCTCGCACCCAGGACTTTTAACCCCGGGACTTTATCCCGTAGGAATGCTCTCTCATCCCGGCTTAACACCTCATCACGCGATCACCCAGCATCCTGCAAGGGAATGAGAGTTTGAACGTTTATACAATAGCAGTCTCAGAAACATGTCATCGATTCATATCTTGCGAAATTATTTCGACTATGCGAAAAGGGCAGATTTAAAAATCACGTGATTGTAAATCATGTGTTGCAGCAAATTGATCATCGAATTGTTTTAAAACGAAGAAAAAATGTCACGTAATTGGCTTCACGTTTTTCAGTATTAATTTAAAGAAAAAAGTGAGATATTCATTGAAAAATTTGTGCCAATATCGATTGCAATTGTTTTGAAAAGGTTAGAGAGAGAGAGAGTTGTAAATAGAATTGTAAATATTACTGATTATGTTAATCGCTTTGTACATAAACATCCAATGAATTATTCGAGAAATGGGGTTACACTTGCATCGTACAGTGCAAATATTGAAACGAATGAATCTCGATACTTCGGAGAAGATTCTTTTTCCAATTTTGTATAAATGTAAAGTAAACATACAATAAATAGAAGAATTTATTTAATAAATTGTATTATCATAACCAATAGAAATTATTTCTCCCATTATCGTTTCCCCAAGATCCCTCGTCTTCTACTTTATCAAAAAAGATAAAAACTGATTAGAAACCCGAGTTAGAGACAAAATATATATTGTATAAACTTAATCATGAATTAATATATTATTTATTAAGGCTTATTAAATATATTAATTAATATACCTAGAATATTTTAATAATAATATTAATTTCATAATTTCCAAATCACACTTATCCGCAGTGCAGCTAAATAGATGTATTGTTACATATACATTCATGTCTTTTCATATTCTTCGCAAATCAAAAATTTCCCAAAAAATGTAAATTCCATAGATTCCCAATATTTGAACAATTTTAAAATATTTAAAATTATATATGTAAAAAAAATTCCAATATACGTTTTCACAAATAATTTCATAATTAAGTGTTTGATTTTCGTGAAATTTATCAAGGTATCATCAACGGGGAAAATCGGTAGCGAAACATCGTGCGTATAATTGTGCGACGGAACCTATCCATCTTGCGTTCAGCTGCAGACAATAATTTAGCATGCTACAATATACTGAACGCGTCCAAGCCCTTGTCTAAGTTTGAGCACCTATATATGTAAGATTCGCACGGATCCTCTCGACGTAGGCCGGCGATTACGCGAACGCGATTATGCGGTATCCAAGAATGGCGTCTCTGTGCGTATATGTCGTTGGGATAAATTAGCCGTGGCAATTAGTTTCGGAATCAACTTCGCCGGGTGGTTGGCGCCACCATCTTGATTGCGCTCGAGGAAGAATCTTTAAAGACAGTAGGCAGCACTGTTTGCCGAAAGGTCCGCGTCGTTCGCGCGGGCTAATTAGCGATGCCCACCGAGATATCGCCGACATACGCTAATAATACCGAACATAAATATTCCGAATTTTTTCGTCTGCTGGCCCGTCTGCTCTCTCTACCCGTTCTTCCCCTTGTACCGCTTTTCATTCGCCCGAACCAGTCGCTCGCGATATATCATTAGTTAATTGTATCTTTGTCTATCCCTGGGCTCGCAACTCTTGGAATATTCGCGGCTTAAAAGATTTATAAGATCAGGTATTTAGAAGACTTGTAAAATCGAATATTTAATTATAAGTGGAAAATAATTTATCAGTCTGAAAGTCGCAGTACTGCATTATGAGTCGCAACGGTGTCGAGTATAAATATATAGACAGAGATGAAACATTAAAATAAAATAGTATTCGAATCGAATCAAATAATGTTGTTTTAAACCACGAATGACGATGGAAAATTTCAATAAAGAAGTTTGTGAAAAAATTAGCACATTAAATGTTTATATCATTATAATTATACATGACAGATAATTGTAAATAATTGCTACATTATTTACAAAGATTGAAGCTGCACTGCGATTGTCAACAACTCCGTTTTATCTTTTTTAAAGTTTATACATGTGTTTGCAGTTTGTGCAAATACATGTATAGACTTATAAATTTATAATCAATTTTATCTTATCTTTCTCTGATGCAACGAAAATTAAACATCCTCATAAGAATATATCATCTGCCACTTATAACACAAGATTAAACTGGTATTCGCCAATTAATTTTCATAACTGGATTAAAATTAACGTATGATATGTGATAATAAAATCTTTTTAGACGCAAAAATAGATTTTATAGTCGAACTACTTGTTAGAGATTTCCTCGTTGAACTACGAGATAGACTTAACGGTCTTTTTAATTAAAGTTGATCTATCTAACCAGTTGTCACAAAATTACGCCTGTTGGAATATTTTTTACAACTAGATGATACGTGCCTGAATTTTAATCACGTAATTAGTCGCCAATCATTACTACCTGTTTCGACTACTGTCTCAGAAGAGTCAGATAATATCAGATTACACAAGCTACCGTATTACTGATTAGACATTACGACATCTTTAAATGCAGATCGTTTACATATTTGGTTAATACTATTTCTTGCCTCAGAGAAAACTATTTAAACCGGTTTTATATTTTAAAACTGCTTTTTCTTATGTGATAATATAATTATTGAACTTTTAATTAAAAATTATATTTGATTTTATATTATGTGTATATAAAATATTTTCAACGTTATCACCTGTATAAAAATAAAGTGGAAATAGTATGTATCGCGCAAATTATTCTTATCAGACTCATTAAAATAAATGCTATTCGAACTTTTACGACCAACGTACTTCGTATCGACTTTTGATCTTTAAATTGTTATATTATACAAAATATGTACCTCAAGCATTAACACTACACATTACAAATTTCAAATCAGTCTTTGCCTTCAAAAACCAGATAAACGGTTATCAACTGTGCTGCAACTTTATTTAATATTTTATAAAAAAAGTAAGACGCTTCTCTCGACCGTACTGGCAAATATTATTTATTCAATCACAATTGTGATATTTGCCAGTACGGTCGAGAGAAGATTCTTACTTTTTTTAAATTCTGTCTGGCGATTCTCAAATATCTACGTTTTTATTTAATATTTTATGTTGGAGATATCTCAACAATTCAGTTTTACAAATTAAATCTCAATTATATATTATAGAAATCGCACAAGACATTTGATGTATTTGATTAAATGCAACGCTATCATACAATTGAAATACAGTTGCAGTTGAAAATGCAGTTCGATTGTATTTATGAAGAATTCACAGTGTTAAAGTGCGTTCTGGTTACATTTCTCACGGAATCGATTAATACGACGAATATTTTGCAAATAGCGATGGTCTTATATTTTTTATGCACATCTCATTTCATGACGCCTATTTATAATCAATAGAGCCTAAGTTCAATCGAGTGTCGGGTCAAGATCTTTGCGTGATTGACTTTAAAATAAAGATCGATTTCGAATGCCTTGCATTTCGATTTTATGAGTCGTTAGTTTCTATCACATATTTTTCATAAGTATATTGTAAATAGAATGAGTTTCACTGACATTTAATAACTATTACTTTAATAAGTATTTTTAATTGAAATTTGTTTTCAACACAATCAATAAATCTCATATTCTAAAAGATTCTAAATTCTAAAATTATATGTATAGCAATATAAATCATATGTGCATGACAAATAAGAATTCAAGCGTATATATTACTAAGTTTTAAAAATTTACAAACAATCGTTATGACTAACAATAAGACTTCAATCCTGACGAAGATATAAGTAATTTTCTAAAGATGTTGCGTCATGTATTTCATAAACTAATGTTGATGTTGCACAAATTAGTCTCCGCAATTGATAAATTGCATTCGCAATATACACAACAAAATGTGACTGAAGTAACATTATATATAAATTATTTTTTTCCGAGTATAAGATTTGCGCAATATCTCAATATATTTTGAGATATGACAATTACATAGCAGTTAATTATGTTTGAAATGTTTACCGCGCATTTTAATATATGTTTTGACTCGGCGATATAAATACTGATGTACCTATACATATATATGTACTGATATATGTATATATGTGTTATCAGCGTGATATAGAAACTTTACAAGGACTGAATAATAACAAATTCAAAATCCTAAATTTATTTCAGGATTTTCAATGTACATGTTTGTTTAATCACAGATTACGACAAATTACGGATTAATTTTTATAGCTTAAGTTTTATCAAAACTAATCAAAACTAATTTGTGATAACTCTGAAATTATAGCATAGGTCAAAATTTTAATAATACTTAATATTATTATTAAATGAAGTTATCAGATTAAACGATTTAAATATCTTTATAAGAAAAAATGACAGATTTTTATTATCTATAAAACTCTCACAATAAATATCTCCATATTCAATACTAAATGTCTATTGAGAATATAGTTTAGTAATCTTCTGATTAAGTTTAGATTAAAATAAGAAGAAAACGATTACAGTGCGAAGAATCTATATATGATTGGAAATAAGCACAATGATTTCGAGACGTTTTCTTTGTATCGGCACACCGCGCTTTATATAAAAAAGAACATTCTAATCTCGCTTTCGTTATTGAAATAACAAACGTTAATTGTTGCGAATATGCGAGCGCGAGCCATGAATATATTCCCATACTGGGACGTCGCTTTTATAATATTTAAATGCCAAGTCTGTCTATACCTAACGCAAAATGAATCGTCATCTCTGCGGACAGTTAATTATAATGATTTAATTAGCGTGTCCCTCCGTAGAAAGCCAATTCATCGATCGTGTCTATTGCTGCGAGTCGGTTCGTGTTTTTCGATCCAATTATCGGGATTACGGCACGATCAAAATTATCTGTTGTCGAATTAATGCGCGCCTCCCGCTTTACGGAGAAGGCGGAGTGAGTTTTAATGAGCGATTAACCCAGCGTTACGCAACAAAATTAATTATCTGCCGATAAATGCCTTCCACAGGAGGGTGTATTAATGATCGCGATAAACCCGCGTGGCAGAAAACACGCGACGGTACAGATTGCAGATTATTTCAGGCCGCTAAACAAACGGGCCCGCGATGAGTATTAGACTGATGCATTGTGGCTTTATAATGATAAATAATGCCCAATAAACTCAAAATGCGGAGGTAGATAAGCGAAATACACTATACGTTCTTTCCAAGATCGATAAATGGATCGGAAGTATTTCGGTATTATTAATAATATAAATTTTATAATTTATATATATATATATATATATATATATATATATAATTTTTCTATATTTTTTTATTTATTAATAATATAATTTTCGAAACACTTATTTTTTATTCTTTATAATAGAATTTTCCATTTTTCGCATTCATTACATAAACATGACATAAATTGTTTTCTAAAAAAAAAAAAAGATCTCAAATTGCCATTATCTTAAAAAAACAATTTAAAAGAGCATAAATGCAGACTTATATAAACATATATTCATAATTATGCCTTTATTAATATGGATTATCGAAGTGGAAATTTTTTTTCGAGCAAAATTGTTTTATGTAAATATGTTATGTAATAATGTTGTCAGCTGTTATAA